ATGGGACATGGTACGCGACGTCTGTTGGCTTGCTGCTGCATGCGGACTTGAGCCTTTTGCATATTTGCGCGGGCTTGAGTCAGCAATTCCCTGTACTTCCAGACGGAAGCGGGAGAGCAGGCAGCGTCAAGGTCGGCTGGTCGAGGGAGGAGAAGGTCGGCGAAGATCCGGCCTTTCCGTCCACCGTGGTGCAACTCGAATGGAGTCACACCGATCGCCGGATGCACTGAAGTGTTGTAGGCGAACTCGATGTCGGGGAGGCGGTCAACCCAATCTTTCTGGTCCGGACGGATGAGCGTACGAAGCATCATTTGAGCGGTCTGATGTGCCCGCTCCGTCTGCTCGTCTGTCTGAGGATGTCGAGCCAAACTTGGTTTCATTGTTGTGCCGGACTCCTGCATGAGAGTAGTCCAAAACACCGACATGAAACGAGTGTCGCGGTGGCTGACAATGTCTTCTGGTACACCGTGGCCACAAATCCAACCAGTGTGCAGGAGGCGTGCCAACTCGGGAGCCGTGGAGTAGTACTTGCAAGGGAGAAAGCGCGCGTACTTACTCAATCGGTCCACAACCGTGAGGATGCCGTCGTGCCCGAGCCGGTCGCGAGGAAACGGACCGGTGACGTCCATGGCAATGGAGAGACCGGGTTCTCGTGGGATAGGCATCGGGTGTAACTCTCCGTAGGGATTGCGGTTGTGGGGCTTGCTGCGTCGGCAAACTTCGCAAGAGTCGCAATACCGAGTGACATCGGTAATGAGGTCGGGCCATCGGAATCGCTGTCGAAGCCGTGGAATAGTGCGGTTGACTCCGAAATGGCCGGCGAGTCGTGAATCATGATACTCGCTGAGTAGGCGAGTCCGAAGACGACGGTCGTGTGGGACACATAGTAAGTCCTTGCCTCTCGAGTGGAGGAGCAAGAACCCGTCGGCAATGCGGTAATGGCTGGCCGGCGGGTGATCCGAAGATAGCTGTGCATAGAGCGTGCCGAAGTCCGGATCAGACTGATATGCCCGGATGAAGTGTCGCTGACGCTCCTCGTCGAATGCGAAGGCATGATGTGTCATCGCGCAAAGATCAGGTCTTCGCGAGATTTGCATCTGCTGCGCGATTGGAGAGGCCGGGGACATGTTTCGGTGTGAAGTCAAATTGGTCGATGAAGTACATCCATCGTCCGATCGTGCTGCTCATCGTGTCCTGCGTCTTGTAGTAGGTCAATGGATTGTTGTCTGTGACCCATGTGAACCTACGACGCCCAAGGAGGGAGTGCCGCCAGCGCTTGAGAGCCATCACGAATGCGAGCAGCTCCTTCTTCCTTGCATCATCAAGCGAGTTGATGGGAGGCACTTTGTGGTTGAAATACTCCACAGGGTGCCAGTCATCGCCGTCGTGTTGTTCCAAGATTGCCCCAATGCCATAGCCAGAAGCGTCCATAGTCACTCGCGTCGGCAGGGTGGGGTCATAGATGCTAAGGACGGGTGCCATGAGCATAGCCGTCTTAAGTGCTTGGAATGACTGGCGTGCGTCGTCATCGAATACGAATGGCACCTTTGGCGACTGTAACCTCGTCATAGGTGCAACAATCCTGGAGTATCCGGTGATGAATCGCTGATAGTAGCCCGCCAATCCCATGAATGAACGAACGTCCGTGGTGTTGGTGGGCTCGGGCCATACTCGTAGGGCCTCGATCTTGTTCGCAAGCGGACGGATGCCTTGCGGCGTCACATATTGTCCCAAGTACTCCAACTCCTGCTGTGCGAACTCGCACTTTTCGCGATTTGCTTTGTACTTGGCCTGTCGTAGCCTCTCCAAAACGGTGCGCAGGTGTTCCACATGCTCGTCCAGACTCCGGCTGTAAACCAGAATGTCGTCGAGGTATATAAGTACGAAACGATCCAGCATGTGTCGGAACTCCGTCGTCATAGCCGCTTGGAAAGTGG